ATATATATATATATATATATATATTCACCTGCGGCCTGATTTGGCTCCCATCATCTCCGCTCAGTGGCATCGGGTAATCAGCTATATGCTCAAGACACTATGAGGCTTTGAATATTCATGTCAGAGAGGAGGCTTTGTGATTGCCCAAAACAAATGATCCATGTGTGCACAGACAGATTGTGATTAATGAGCTTGAGAGAGAGGGAGACAGAGAGAGAGAGAGAGAGAGAGAGAGAGAGAGACAGAGTCTAAAATATCAGAGGATCTTTATTCATTTAACTACAGATTTTGGAAAGAAACCAGACCTGTGTCTTGGTGCCCGACAGAACTGATCTGCAAGAATGAAACACTCTCATGAGAAACCAGCCCTCATCATCTACAGCCCTGATTTCAGACAGACAGCTGACACTAAAAAGACATGATGTTTGTCCTTTTCCTCCTTACATCGTGGCCTAATCCTTTTAAGAAATGTTCAAGTTACAAGCTGTATAGGTTACTGTATTGCATTACAGGTTAGTAGTTTGAACCTGTTATGTGGCAAACTGATAGCAAATGAAAAGGATCACAGTAAGACAATATGGTTCTGTGCCAAACTCTAGTGCGCTGCCAAGCTAGACATTTTAAAGTGGAAATGAAACATGCATGTTTTTGGCTCTGCTAATGCAAAAATGTATTAGAAAACCAGCTTATTTGCCAAATTTCTACCTAGCCATCTAGCTACCGAGCCGCCTTGTTGGAGTGACGTAGCCATCTACGTAACAGGGTTTTTTGGCTCTGTTGGAAACTCAAGGTCTTCTCAACACATGCACACTTGAAATCTTTATCCAGTATCTGCTTTTTCTCTCCAAAAGTTAAGGAGATAAAAATATCTTTGTACTTGTTTAAACTAGAGTTACGGGTATCTTTTAATGCCCTCACACAAGCACTTGTCAAAGCGTTTCTTTACGAACTGTAAAACAATGGGAATGTTGCCACATTCTGTGGACCAAATAATTAGCACCAAAAAATTCAAGGTGCATGTGCGAGCTGAGTGTACAGAAAAATCTGCCAATGATAAATTTACATCACACATATGCCTAGCATTCACATAAAAACCGAAGTATACTCGAAGTATACATTTGGCTATAGTTGGCACCATTATTCTGCCTCCAAAGATACCTTTTTTGGCAGAACTGTAAGGTAACATCACATGTGTCATTTACCAAAAAAAAGGCAATCCAGGAATGCATTGTGATAAGGTTTTTTTATATGTATTAAAGTATTGTGTCTGTAGCTTAGCAACATGCTAATATCAGCTCTATAAGAATCTATGTAAGTATGGTTTTGCTGGAGCTTACTTAAAAAGCTAGTCTGGCAGGCAGCTCACTATGGTTTGTAAAAGACAGAATTTCTGATTTTAAATCATTAATTGAACTCTTCTTCTAAAAGCTAATTTATTATTAGAGGAGGAGATAGATGAGGTGGTAATCATGTGAGCACTTCAGCAGTTTTAACAAAGCTTGGGTTCAGACATGGATCAAATGACTGGATTCTGATCTCTACACATGCTGTTTCACAAATTGGTCTATACCAATGCAAAACTAGTGCACTAAATGAATCATATGCTGTCATAATTCACTGCAGCATATGATAGATATTTGGCCCATGGCTGTTGATTTATGAAACAAAGCAGAGTGCAAAACAGTGCTTGGCTCAAACACTAACAGCAATCTTAAACACTTAATATAATGATAGTGTATGTGATGGAGACAAGTGTTATATATGATGTTTGGTTAGATACAGAGGTCACAGGGTTAGAGAAGAGGTCAATGGGTGAATGAAGGGGTTAATGTCACAGAATCCATCTGGTTTTCAGAATCATTATCAGACTCATCAGACCTCACAACAGTGGAAACAGCCTTTGTAGTAACTATATATGACTGGGACAGGCTGTACAGACTGTATAATATGTAACACTAAAAAATCAATAATATTATAATCATGTGATCTGATAACAAATGAAACTATAAAAACATACATTATCAAGCTAAATGTACAGCCAATAATTATATATTTGGCTAAGCAACAGACTTCAGTGTATTTATGGGCTTGTCACAGTATGTTTAACCCTGGGTAAACATCTTTTTTAACCCAGACTAAAGGCCACTTTAACCCTGAGTCATGAAATCCTGGTTCAGAAGCAGGTCTGCACCTATTTTGTAGTGCTAACCCCAATCTGTGGTGCAAAACAGTGTGAAACAATGTGGTGGGAGAATGTTACAGCAAGCAGTTAAGTAATTAAAAGCCAATTGTAAGCTAAACAACAATTCCCTGATTAAATATCCATGTGCTTCGTACAGCTGCTGTGTTTAAGTGTCCCAGGGAAACCATTAAAACGTTAAATGGTGACAGAAAACAGGTCATGTAGATATAAGAGACAGTATTATTGCTATTTTTGTATATTAGTGGTGACAATTTCACAAGTGGACAGTTCTGTACACGTTTTACTTGTCCAATCAATAGTATAGATCTGTTTAGCCATGACATAAATGTGTAGGCCAAACCACAAGGCTAATTCTACTGTGAAATCTGACTACCCAGGATTAATTTAACAATCCAAGGTAAAGTATAACCTATGTGATCAGGAAACAAGATAACTCAGGGTTATAAATGGGTTATTCATTCATTTCAAGTGTGAAAAGCCCATTAGAAATATTTAGAAAAGCTGGAACAGAGCAGGCATTATTAAAATTAAATAAAAGACATTCATGCTAAGAGCCTAACATGCTGTAAAAAGCATGTTCAATAAAATAACATTTACACAAAATTGTATTTATTAAAAAGCTTTTTTTATGTGATCCAACTACTGGCTACATGTTTGGATCAGTTCAATTTTGCATTCAATTATAAAAAAAAAAAAACGTTTATTATAAAAGAAGCAAAAAACAAAATTCCCAAATATTTAATAAAAAGTGCTAAGCAAACAGAGAATAAATAGAAGTGAGTACTTGCATTACAGTTAGTGAGGTAAATAGTGCATGCCAAGCCTTTAGGGTTAAGCTACAAAACAAAACACAAAAGAGAGTGCAGTGAGAAGAATGAAGAAAGAAACAGAATCTCATGCAGTGAGACATGCAGTGGCAAAAACAAGACATTTCCAGAGTTTCCATACAAACCTCCAACATTAAATTGCTATGTCTGATATAAATAGTTTCACCCTCAAATTTCTTAGCTCTTTTCTGTGAAAAACAGGAAAAAAATAGAGTTGGCAGTGTTTGAACGTAGAGAAAGTCGTGAAACGATTCTTGGGTAATTTTTAAAGTTTGATCTGTAGTTGCATTCAGTGTGTGGGGACGTGGAGGGATGGAGACAAATCAAATATGGATGAACTATAGCAGCCGCAGCTAGACAGAGGGGAGAGGTCAGAAGTCAGGAGTGACTGCAATGTCAGGGATAATTGTGCATTGGGTAAAGTTATGAAAGTGTAATGAGATCAAGTTAAAATAAAGCTTCTCTTTGCCATCATTTGTGAAACACTGTGTATTTGCTGTGCAACTCTCTGGTGTTATCAAAACAGCATCCTGACCCAGCAACACTGGCTCAACCTCTGTAAATCTTGTCTTGTTATAAGCTGTATATTAGTGCCTTTGCCCTTAATTTTGTGATTATCTGCAGTATGTAAAACCACACTACCAGTAAAAGGTTTGGACATACGTGACTGAATATTCATTTCTGGTGGTCTTAAAAAGATTTTGATCTAGTGAAAAAAGAAGTGTGCTTATTGTATTGAATGTGCATTTGTAGTGTACATCAAATCTCAATATATATTTAATACAGTCAATATTTCAGTATATTTAGAAAAACTGTAATAAGGTCAAATTAAATTTTACTATTTTAAAATTTGTTAAAAATCTTTTATTGTGCTTATCTGAATTTTAGTACCAACTCAGGCCACACATACAAGTGATAGTGGTCTTAAGACACATGGAATGTATTGTGTGTTATAACTTTATCTAGCTTATGGTTCTGTATAAAAATGTAGCCAATTATGTGTAGTCTAGGTCTGTTTGAAAGGTGTTTCAACTGGTTTTGAGAATGACACACTGCGTGTGCTGTCAGGCGAGAGCACATCTTTAGAGAGCCTATCCGTATTAGAAAAGAGACACATTGCTCTGCTCTCTTCTTTCTCTGCCAATGTTACCTCTACAAAAGCATTCAACTACACAAGATCTACAATACTTCAGCCACTCGCAAACTGAGGAGGCATTCACCTTTTCCCTCCCACATCCCCCCTAATGGCTAACAACTTTGCCAATTTTTCAGATACGGTAACAATCAGCAGCAGTCAATTCTCAACACAAACTAACAAACACCCACAACTTGCATGCAAATCTCTACTCTCCTCTCATGGAGGCAGAGGTCTCTAAAGTTCTCCTCTCCAACCATCCTACCACCTGCCCCATTGATCCAATTCACTCCCATCTTTTACACGGCATCTCTCCTACACTTTAACCCACACTCACATCCATCTTAAATGCATCACTACGCACTGGCACTTTTCCCAACACATTCAAGCCAACTTGAGCAACCAACATTAAATACCAGACCACCTGTAGACTAGTCTCTCTTCTCCAATTCACTGCGAAAATCTGACCAAGATGTTTTCTTCTTTCTTCTCACAGAACAAGCTGCTGGACAGCAATCAGTGAGGATTTGACTTGTCTGACTTGATTACAAAGTGGACATTCAACAGATACAGCCTTGACTGAAGCCTTTGTGGGTGGAAAGTACATAATCCATCCTCATCTTGTTGGACTTGTATGCTGCCTTTGACACTGTCTCTTTTCTAACCTCTCCAACTTGGGCATCACAAACAAGTGCAGAGAGGCTCCTAAGTCCTACCTTACAGGTAGATTCTTCAGGCGATCATGTGGTATCAACTAACCACAGGGGTACCACAGGGTTCGGTGCTTGGCCCCTGCCTCTTTTCAAAATATATACTACTGGGATCATCCAGGATGTGGGTTTTTTTCGGGAAAACAGGTATGTTCAAACCTCTGACTGGTAGTGTATATAAAGGGCAAACATCTCATTGATTTAGTTCTGCAGTTCTGTTATACATTATCAGCATGTTTCAGTTGACAATGCATGCTAGAGTAAATGCTACAAGTCATTTGTACTTCACTCATAATGAACACTTTCCTCATTCCATAAACCTCAGTTTGTACTGACTCACTGTCGCTGCCTGGAATAGGTACAGTACATATCTGACAGCTACAGTGCTGTCTGGTACAGCCAAACTCATACAAGTGCAAGCAAGATACAGCCAAAGCAGATGAGAAAACAATAATAAAATGATCTTTTTGTTGTAAAACATGGGCAGTGAGGAGATGATGAGTACAATGGCATCGTCCTCATGCTGCGATACCCGTATGGAACAAGCTCTGACCTTCCTTATGCGCACCATCTTTGTGTCCGCCCGTGGCGACTGTTCAGACCCCAGAGGGGAAGGAAGAGAGCATGTAAGTGTTTATGAAACAAGCCACTTTGCTACTCACTTACTGGTGAAAAAAAAAAAAACATTCACGATGGTTGTAATTTCTTCACAGCTGTTCATTTATGTCTTATATTATGTAATATTGTCAGCATGCACTAATATATAGTTTAACACAAATATCTGCTGAAGATTTGTTATTCAAGTCTTATTACACGGCTCTGTGGAATACTTGATTCTGATTGGTCAGTCGCGGCATTCCGAGGTATGTTATCCCTCAATAACAACCGGTAAAAACTAATAACACAGGCTCATCCGGGTAACTGAAGTCGGCGCTGTACTCTTGTCAGGAACAGTTTTTTGCGTTTGTTTACCTAATAAAATATTAAAATTCGATTCAAAATTGTGTACAATTACTTAATTATGTCATCCTGGTATCTCGTACTTGCTCTTTCATTTCATACAAACGCATCTGCTGCCATTTTTGTGACGATTGTTTTGTACGCTGTAATTGGATTATAAGATAACTAACAAACTGGTAAGATTTTAAAACATTTTCATCTTAAATCTTTTATTTTCATAATTATGTATGTGGTGAAATGTTGTGTAACTGCACCGTATCTCTTAAATATCCATCTAGTTTGAACTTGCCACTTGCTCGCAACTGCTGTGTTCACGTAAGCTTTGCGTTCAAATATTTCAACTCAAATCAATATTTCGTGTCTAATTATTTACTTATGTGCCAAGTAGCCGTGTAATAAGCGGGATAATGTACATCCAGCCGGTTGTTATCGCAGAATAACCCCCGACAGGGTGATCAGGACCCCGACGCGAATACTGCTTTTGCTGCTTTTGGAATTGATCCTTTGCTAAGCCCCACCTTAACATTACTGACCAATCCAACACTACATTTTTACATTTTAAATTTATGCATCTGGCAGACACTTTTATCCAAAGTGACTCACATTACATTCAAGGTACAAGACTCTTATGCTCACCAAGGCTCCAGTATATGATCAAAAATACAGTAAAAACAGTAATATAGTGAAATAGTATTAAAAACTAAAATAACAGTTTTCTGTTTTAGCATATTTTAAAATGTAATTTATTCCTGTGATGCAAACCTGAATTTTCTGCATCATTACTTCAGCGTCACATTATCTTTCAGAAATGCTCATTTGCTGCTCAATTATTAATAAAGTTTCTTCTTATTATTATCAATGTTGGAAACATTTTTGCCGCTTAATATTTTTGTGGGAACCGTGTTCCTTTTTTTTTTTTCCAGGATTCTTTGATTGGCGAAATAGAAATATTTTGTAACATTGTCTTTACTGTTACCTTTGATCCTTTTAATGCATCTTACCGAATAAAACGATTAAGTTCCTTTTTTTTTTTTAAACCGTGCTTACCCTAAACTTTTGAATGGTAGTGAATCAAAAAGCAAGATTGATTAACATTGATAATACTCATAAATGTTTCTCGAGCATCAAATCAGCATATTAGAATGATTTCTGAAGGATCATGTGACACTGGAGACTGGGAATTCAGCTCTGCATCACAAAAGCAATTTATCCTGCAGGAATAAATTACATTAAAAGATTATTTTCCATTTGAATGCTTTTACCGTATTTTTGATCAGATAAATGCAGCCTTGATGAGCATAGATACTTCTTTTAAAGACACTGAACAATCTTATTTGCTGCAAACTTGCGTATGTGTAATAAGGTACATTAATGTTAATAACTTAATACACTTAATATACTTCTTTTGCATATATAAGCAAAAATAAACAAAATGGGTGGAGCTTAGTGAAGGGTCAATTGCTTTTGCATATAATAACATCTTAATGAACCTGGCTCCTAGGGTAAATCACTGTTGTACATGCTCTTATGTGATTGGCTGAAATCATGAGCACAAACCTGGCTCTTTCTCTCCCCATTGGTGGCCATCACCACCGGGGCATCACGTTGCTGCCGTTCTCGGCGGGCTACCATCTGCAGCAGCACAGAGAGAGTATACATACTCCTGCTGTCTCACACAGACTTAAATATCGTGGCTGCCTTGCATTTGTGGTCACAAGTAAAGATGCTTTTTGCTGCTAATTTGCGCTGGTTTGTTATGCCAATCTTGGTGAGAATAAGCCTTAAGGCTTCTTAATTTATTGCTGTCTGATCACAACAATTCAAAAGTCAGGTAGGAGTCCGTGCTGCAGGTTTATAAAAATGGTTCAAGGATCAAAAGCATTTGCTTAAATTGCTTGTTTAAGTTTTCACTGAAAATATTTGAATGTTATTTAGCACATTTGTGTGTGTGTGTCATACCTTGATTTCAGGTGTGCCCTCTGCTTTGGTGCTGTGTGTTTTGGAGCCATCTGCCTTCACCTCACTCTTCCTCTCAGTGGAGCGTGGACGGCCTGTGGGCGTGGACGTCTCTTTACGGTCAGTGCGGGCGGCAGATGCTACTGGGGAAGGAGCCATGTCGCCTGGAGAGATGGGAGATATGATAGGAGCGCTGACGGGACGGGCGTTCTTATCTGGGGTCGAGACCATGGCTGTCGGAGAGTTTGTTTGGGACAGAGGAGAAAGAAAAAGGGTACGTTACACTAATGTGATGGACTAAAAATCGATATTCACATTAACATATTGTAGAGAGTGTCAATTGTGTGGGTTTTCTCTTCAATTAAACCAGTTTAGGTGTTTGCTGTGCACCTCTGATGAGAAACATGGTTAAATTTTTAAGGCAAACAAACATAGTAATACACATTCGTTATTATATGACAATTCAGTTCTAATTTGGTTGCAACTCTCATTGACCCTACCAACCTTATAAAAAGAATATACTTAAGTTTGAAAAGAATGAACTGTTTTCAGACACTTAATTGCATTGCATGCTAATTGCATATAAATGAAAATGTATTATATATATATATATATATATATATAT